TCAGAGAAAAATAAATGCACGCTACCCAACTTCCAGTGAGTGCTGACAATTGTACACAGCACAAGAATTGGCTGCAAATTACCCAATAAGGTTGGTAATTATTGAAAGCCAGGAGCCACCAAGCAATGAAACTAAGTCCTTTGGAAATTGATATTCCCCTTGGAGACAAAATGGCCGCCGCCTATAAAATGGTGGCTTGTCCTGAGGTGGCACACTGAAATTATGAGAATAACTCTTTTTCTCTTTGTGGAGACTCTTTTCTCCCCGATTCCTGATCTCCCAAGGGAAAGTGGCCAGAAGCTTGAATAAATCAGCCTGAAATTTGGTTTTTTTGACTTCAGTCTCTGTAATGATTGATTCTATTCCCTGAGACAAAATGGCGGCCGCGCCAAAAAACACCCCAACTGTCAAATCCTGACCGTTGGAAGTTGCAGAAGCCCCCTGGGAGCGAGGCGGTACCCTGAGCAGCCTCTAACTCGCCAAGAAACGGCCGAAAAAGATCAATTCAACGTTCGGCCTGCCCCTGTCTTCTCGGAGCGCCGCAGCCGCAACCTCCGAAAAAAACAGAGTTATGCTAATTTGGCTCTGCCGGGGAAGCAGCCGCGATCCCCGCTGTTGGAACAACCAATCCGCCGAGAAAGCCTTCAGCCGAAACAGCTTTCTCGGTCGTTTTGCCTCTCCGGGGGTGCAGCCGCGATCTCCGCTGCCAGAAAGGCACCCGCCGAGGAAGCCTTCAGCCGAACGGTCCCCTCGGGCTTCTTTCGCTATAATTGGCCTCCCCAGGGATGCAGCCGCAATCCCCGTCACGAGAGGCCAATCGCCAAAAAGGAAGGAGAGCGGCCGAACGGCTTCTCTCACTTCGCTAGACCACGGAGAGGAGAGAACGGAGGGAACTGAGAGTTTTTGAATTCTCGTCAGTCCCTGCCGTTAACGGAGCCGCTGGAGCAAGCCCTAATGCGCTCCGCTATGAAATTTTAATTTAAATTAATTTTAATTAATTAGCCCTACCCTGTGAGCTCTTGGAGGGAGGGGAAAAAGAAGGGGCCCCCTTCTGTCTCCCAATAAATCACCCCCCACAGTAGAGCTGACAGAAGGACCGAATTGTATGTAATTAACTCTATCTACTTTACCAATATAGAACTGAGATGGAGGAACCACTAAATTCAAATAGTCTCTACGAGCCAGAGTTGTACGTCCTGTTCATGGGCAAGATCAAGTCAAGACTGGGCATAGGTCCAAGGACAGGGCGTGACAACTTTGGCTGACTTGATCTGATTGGGCAGGAATACAGTCACAACCCACGGGTGGATCCTCCATCTCCAGTGCTGGAGAACTACACAAAAAGTGTGTAACTCCCCCCAGTCATACGCATAAATTGTCCTCCCTAGCTGAATACTGATAAATATATTTCAAAGATAATAACTCCTTTCCCTTTGCAAAACAGGTACAAAATTTAGAAATTTCTACAAAACTGTTTACCCAACCCACTTCACTTGACATAGTTAACAGGTAACAGATAAAACCAACAGC